ATTATATTATAAATATATTTTTTTTATTATTTCAGTAACGATTTTTTTGTCTGCCCTTTTGCATACGGCTTTTTAAATTCTTCTTCTTCCTGTACCTTGTGCTTAGCCGCACGTTGGCGATTGTCTGTACTCTTCATACAATGTGTAGAGTGCCGTTTTCGGCTCTTCGAAATATGGTGGCTGCGTCAATGATGACCAATCCCGTATGTTTCTTAGCCAGGAATGTTGTTTTCTTCCTGGGCCTCACCGTCCCTCTATTTTTCCTTGTAGAATCAGCTTAGGAATGTAATATTTGTCTCCTCTGAAGATACGGCCGAGGTATGAGACTTTTCTTTTTTTAACTATATTAAGCATTTCTCGTTCATAGCCTGCAGTTCTTAAAACTTCTTCGTTGGTTGCATGTGCGGTCCATGGCACACGTAAGAGTCTCCGGAGAGTCCACATTTCGAAAGCCTCGATGCGGTTCAGGGTTCTAGCCTTGAGTGACCAGGTTTCTGTATAATTTTGTTTTCATTCAATTTTTGAGATATTTTAATAGATATTCTGCTATTAGTCCAAGAAAATAGGTCTTAAAATACGAGGTTTTGGTAAAAACTTGAAGTTTTGATATAAGTTACGTTGAAAGATCTAAAAACAAATTGTAAAAGATTTTTTTAAATTTACCCCCGAGAAGGAGTGAAATAAAGGAGTGAAAATGTTGTAGAGCGTAATGAAGAAAATGATATTATGGATTTGATTTCAAATGGCAGGTGATTGTGCATTTTTTTCGAGTTGTATAATATTGAACTTTTAACTAACTCTGAGCGTGGGGTAGGTAGATAAAGATCTTGCTCCGTGTTCCTGAGTGGATAAGTGTGAGATGGCCTTTCTTGAGAAGCTGATACATGCTTACGTATTAGGCAAACGGATTCACAAATATAAATGAGGAAAGAAGAGTTAATATTTTTAATTTTCTAAAAAAGTCCTGGCAATGAGTTCTGCTGTTTAGTCCCAGTGAATATCGAACAGCTCTCTTCTGGAGCATAATTAACACGACAGGATCGGGATAATCGTGGCCGAAGGAAATATATATAGTATATTTCCTTCGGCCACACAACCGCTTTACCCGACCCCTGTGAGCAACCCGAAAGTACAGCGTAATATATTCTTAAAGGCCTATTTTCTCGGACTATATTTGGCACGGAGGCGAATTCAACAAATCAGAGACCATTAAAATCGATCCAGCCGTTCTTGAGTCATAGACCGTGTAAATAACACGGCTTTGTTACATTTCGTTAGATGATCAACATTGTAACATTGATACTTTTAGGTAACTGGAGGTGTTCAAAGTGTGGAAAGGCCTATGGAAGAAGAGAATCTCTATACATGCACCAGCGATACGACTGTGGAGAAAAAAAGTTCTTCTGTAACTTTAAAAATTGCAATTTTAGTGCTTACAGGAAACACAACGTCAAACAACACCTATTCTGCAGGCATAACATCTCCGTTATTCCTGATAATTTGATAGGGACTAGCAATAAAAGACATAATAAATAAGATCTAAATTAAGTCAAGAAAATTATTGCAAAATTACGGCTTCTTTTATTTTTTTAAGAAGATAAAATTATTAATAATTACATTTACAATAAACGTTTTTTTTAATTTATTTTATTATTAGGTTTATGTGTGTAATTTGTAGTAAGTAAAATCTGAAAATATATACTCAAATTTTAAGAATTTGTAGATTTTGACTAAATAAAAAATAAAACAGGTTAACTATTAAAATTGATTGTTATTTTATAAACAATAAAATTATATAAGAGTTTCTTGCCTTGAACTGCTAATATAGAAATTAATTCCACGCTGTGTTCGTCATAATGTGGATCAACCTGCTCTCACTACCGGTTTCGGGGCCCTACCCCATCATCAGGTGAGCTTGGGTATTTCCACAAAACGACGAGCACAGCGCAGAGTATATAAATACGACTTGTCGTAAAGTAGCGGTAAGATATTAAGTCCCGCATCGCGAGATAGCGGCCTGCGTGCAATGGTATATATTTTGGGCTAGCCGAAAAAAGCCTTTATTTACTATCGATAGTTGTGCCTCGGTGGTACGAAAGTACTACCATTGCACGCAGGCCGCTATCTCGCGATGCGGGACTTAATATCTTACCGCTACTTTACGACAAGTCGTATTTATATACTCTGCGCTGTGCTCGTCGTTTTGTGGAAATACCCAAGCTCACCTGATGATGGGGTAGGGCCCCGAAACCGGTAGTGAGAGCAGGTTGATCCACATTATGACGAACACAGCGTGGAATTAATTTCTTTATTAGCAGTTCAAGGCAAGAAACGCTTATATAATTTTATTATATACCTATAAACTGCAAGAAACTTATTTTCAATTTATAAACAATTTAAGCATTCTGCATTCGCCGTCTTAGCTTCAATCTACTGAGCTGTTCATTGAGGAGACAGTGTACTGCTAAAAATTCCGTGACAATCCGTAGATTGTTCTTGCTCATATCAATGAATATTTCACGCATGTGCAAAAAATCCCATATGAAGTGGGTAATTTTCGGCGAAAATTGCCCGTTAAAATCCAAAATTGCCCGGCGAAAATTTCTCGCAGAATGTCTGGTGACAATGACACATTTTAGTCAAAGAGTTGGCTACATAAAAAATTATTACATTATGAAATAGTCATATCTGCCAGCGCGATACCGGGGCTTAAAGTGAGTAAAGCCAGACTGCCTTTCCTCCACTTGGAACGTGCCAGACTATTATGTCCATTAATAAAATGATTCGCTTTAATAAATGTCAAATATTTATGACTGGGAAAATAAGTATAATAGACTTTTTTATTTTTATTTAGACTCATAACTTATCATTTAAGCCCCATACTCACACTTCGCTCTTTCGTCCCTTCCTCCCGTTACTTCCTCGCCTTACTTCCTCGCGTTACTTCGTCTCTTCGCTTCCTTCCTTCGTCCATTCGATGCTTGGAAATTAGTCGATTATGCAACAACACACCACAAAATATTTTTAATATAGCAGCTACATGTTTATTACGAAATATCTAGTAATCTCTAACATTTTTAAAAAATCCGAAAGGCGCATAATTTTTATTTTATAAAACTGCAATTCTTTGTCGTGTCAAAAATAAAAAATGAATTTTAATAATATATATTTCTTTTAATAAATCCAAATATTTCAGTATCATGTATAAGGTATATCGAAAGGCCAATCGAAAGGGTGAAATCTTGACACTAAAAATATTATAAGATACATGAGTTATAATTGCGAAAATAGCTTTTATTTATTATTAAGAAACGTGGAAAATTGTTGGCAGACATTTTTCTACTCGCTAAAATTCCGACAGACAACGCGAAAGAGGCATGAAATGTTAAACATTATTAAAAAATGAAATTTGAAGAATGAAAAAAATTATGGCATATTTGCATGCCGATTGGTGAAATGTCATATTTATTTATTTTAAAAGCCGTATGCAAAAGGGCAGACAAAAAGATCGTGGCTCAATCGGCTGCAGACAGTTATCAAAAGCGCGATATTACTCTAGCGCTTTATTCAGGGAACGCTGGCCGTCTCATCCATTCAAGTATAGATAAATCATATAATATACGATTATATTATAAATATATATTTTTTTATTATTTCAATAACGATTTTTTTGCCTGCCCTTTTGCATACGGCTTTTTAAATTCTTCTTCTTCCTGTGCCTTGTGCTTAGCCGCACGTTGGCGATTGTCTGTACTCTTCATACAATGTGTAGAGTGCCGTTTTCGGCTCTTCGAAATATGGTGGCTGCGTCGCTGATGACCAATCCCGTATGTTTCTTAGCCAGGAATGTTGTTTTCTTCCTGGGTCTCGCCGTCCCTCTATTTTTCCTTGTAGAATCAGCTTAGGAATGTAATATTTGTCTCCTCTAAGGATATGGCCGAGGTATGAAACTTTCCTTTCTTTAACTATATTAAGCATTTCTCGTTCATAGCCTGCAGTTCTTAAAACTTCTTCGTTGGTTGCATGTGCGGTCCATGGCACACGTAAGAGTCTCCGGAGAGTCCACATTTCGAAAGCCTCGATGCGGTTCAGGGTTCTAGCCTTGAGTGACCAGGTTTCTGCGCCGTATAGTAAGATGGGCCATATGTAGCATTTCACTACCCGTAGTCTAAGTGTTAGCGGGAGACTGCGTGCTAATAGGAAGTTTTTAAGTTTAAAAAATGTTGACTTTGCATAATTCGTTCTAAGTTTAACTTCCTCATCGCAGTCCCATCGTTCATTGATCATGGCACCCAGATATTTAAATCGTGGAACTCGCTCTATAATATTTCCATCCACGGTCATTGCGGTGTTGATTGTAGGCTGGCGTCCTATTACCATAAGTTTGGTCTTGGCAGCGTTGATTTTAAGACCGAAATTATTTCCCATGTCCCCTATCTTATTTATTATTTGCTGGAGATCCTCTATAGTTCGTGCTAGTATTGCCGTATCATCTGCATATCTTATATTGTTAATTGGAACTCCGTTAATCTTAATTCCTCCACTTTCTCCTTCCAGGGCCATTTGAAATATTTAATATATATACTTTTTAAATTAATTAACAATAAACATGACATTCCACCAACCGACATGCATGTATGCGATGATTTTCTTTTGTCAAAATTCTATGCCTTTTTCGCGTCGTCTGCCGGCATTTCAGCCACGAGAAAAATGTCTGTCAACAATTTTACACGTTTCCTAATAATAAATAAAAGCTATTTGGCAATTATAACTCGTGTACCTTATAATATTTTTAGTGTCAAAATTTCACCCTTTCGATTGGCCGCTCCCGCTTTAAGCCCCGGGATCGCGCTGGCAGACATGACTATTTCACAATGGCTACACAAAAGGATACTTCACACAAAAAATTAGCCATGTAACGATGATAAGGTTTTTTATGTAGCCAGCTCTTGGTCTATTTGTTACTTAGACGTAAATTATTGTTAATAGGTATTCTAAAAATGTCTCTATTTGGAAACGATTCTTTAAGTGCAATTGAAGAAAAAGTTGCCGAAAGTAAGCCGAAAAACACTATAATTAATCACCAGTATGTATGGAAACAGTTTATGGACTTTATAAAAGATAGAAACAAAATTTTGGATGCGAACATCTCAATCTCGGCACTGGCCAATATTTTGACCGATTGGGCATTTAATATGAAAAGGAAAAACGGCCAAGACTATAAGGGTTTTACGGTATAAACTATTTGGAATGTAACAGCCAAGCTATTAATGGAAAAATACCAAAAAGAATATAATATTAAATTTAATCCGTTTACTAACACCGAACTGAAAATATCCCCGGAGGCAAAAAGTGCCAAAAGGAAGGAATTGCAGATGGACCCTCTAAAAAGAAAAGAAAGCTCTAAGGCATTCAAATACCAAGAATTCAAATTAATGGTACGATATTGTAATGAAGAATGTCCCGATGGTTTGCAAAAAAAAATATTTTTTGCATTATCCTACGAATTGGCATGGCGAGGAGGAGGGGGAGGAAAATGTTTTGTTTCCTATTTTAAAGATGCTATTGATATAATATAGTATAACCCACCAGTCGCATTGAATACAACTCGATATTCGATAAAACCACTCAAGGAGGAGATAAACCTTGTGCTCCGTCAAAATGGCTGGTCATAAATATAGAGGTTAACCGGATATATCTCCAGTAAGGCTATTCAAAAAATTTATAGAAAAAAGATTTTTTTTTAATTCTGCATCTTCAAGTACCGCAACGCAATCTAAACATAATAATTTTTATAACTGTGTTTTTCACTGCAATTCTTCATGCAATTTTTAATTTCTAATATTATAAGTTCTGTTTCATTTTATAGCTTCAATTTTAAATATACTTTTTTTAATATGTTCAAATAAATGTTTTTTAATAATCTATGTATTTTCACTTGTATTTTCATGTTTTTTATTTAAAAAACATGAAATCGTTTTATGTTTCTCGTGCATCAAAATTAACCTGATAATTTTTCATTTAAGCATGTGGTTAATAAAAAACAGCATTCGTTTATATTCATATTTTGGAAGAGCCAATAGACAACATGCTTTCATGAAAAATTATCGGTAATTTTGATGCACCTGGGTAATTACTTCCGAAAATTTTTGATTTATCTCGGTCGTAAGGTCTGAGACATTTCTTCGAGTGTAGGATTGCTACAGGTGCTACAATGCTACAAGTTATGAATGCACTCTTGCAGGTTCTTGAGTTCTACTTAGGTATTAACCCTTTATAGTTTGATGGTCGCTAAATCGACCACTTTGATTTAACCAAGTAAACAGTTGCGCAGAAGTGTATTATCGCCCAGTTTGTCTGCTATGCTTATTTCTATGCGCGTCTTGGCCATTTAATCAACCATATCTATACGTTCGCCGAATTAACGCGAAAATTTTACGTAAGTGGTTGAATATTCGACCAGAAAGCATTGGTGACACTGAGTCCGTTGTGTATCATTTTGTCATTGTTTTTAGCTGTATTTTTTCCCGTGTTTACTGTATGTAGGCCATATTCATCATCATCATTTTCAGCTTATTCAACCATTTCCAATTATGGTGTAGCCTCCCTCACATATTTAGATACTGTAGTTGGGCTCATTGGCTGTCTATTGTTGGCTATGCGGACGCAAGTTATCCTTGCCAATTTTCTAATATCATGATCCCATCTCGAGTTTGGTCTTGCTCTAGGTCCCTTGATTCCTCGTGGGTACCATGCTATAATTTTTGTGGTCCATCTGATGTCCGTCCTTCTTGCCAGGTATCCTGTCCATTTCCACTTGAGACATTTGATTCTGTGGATGACATCTATTACCTGGGTCTTTTGTCGTATCCACTCTATCCTTTTACGGTCTCTCTTGGTTATTCTCAACATATTTCGTTCCATTGAGCGTTGTGCGACCTGCTGTCCATTTTAAGTGTCCAGGTTTCTCTTCTGGTGTCCAGGTTTCTCTTCTCAGAATGTTCTCTTCTGGTGGGTAGGCGATACTATTTATAAAATATTTAGTATTTATCCTTGTAATACAAAAATATTACATAAAAATGCCCACTCAAGCTACAAAATAAAATAAAAGTAAAGCTTCATTCAGAACCTTCCAATTAGTGGTTTCAATTACACTTTATACTTTTTAGTTTACGATCATTCACAATGTCTAAAAAACACAATTAAAATTAATAAAATATCCTAGCAACAGCTTGCGGTAGTCTGTTGTATCCATAGAGAAAGCATAATATTTAAGGTGGCTACACACACTACTGCAAGCTTGACAAGTATGCATGAACAATCTTTTTGTACAAGCCATGCATAATTTACCTTCGCCGCCACACGGTACATGCATGCTTGAACAAGTCCGAAGAAAAAGAAGGAATTCCGCGAAAAAGAAGAAGGAATCCTGAAGGCATTTATCTCTTTAATAATGGCATCCTTATCGGCTTGGCTGTCAATTAATCTATACTTATTAAGTAAAATGTTGTATGCTGCATCCTTCTTCACTCTATCATGATATTCTGGTGATTTAATTCGCCAAAGATACTGCTGTTTTTCGTATGCGCGAATAAAATCTTCCAATAATCCTGAACTGCTCCTTTTCAGATCGCTAGACATGATGGCGACGGGACGTACATGTCATTTACGATCACAGACTGAACTAATTGTTTGTACAAGCTGAATACATGTGGTACACACGTACCGTTTCGCTTGCGTAAGCATGGCTTGTCCAAGCTTGCATGATTCAAATTCAATCAATCACCAAGGGGCTTGCTCAATTAAAATGCTTGCGCAAATTTTCCCTACAGACGCTACAGTTTGCTTGTACAAAAAGATTGTTCATGCATGCTCGTCAAGCCTGCAGTAGTGTGTGTAGCCACCTTTAGCTATAAAAGCTTATTAGCTTATAAAACAATAAATTTTGATTTCTAACCAAAATTTTTCTTGACGGAAGATAATCAAAGGCCAAAATTACATTCCTCGCAAATTTGAAGTATAATCGTCGAAAAGTCAAAAGTTTGTTAACTTTTTCGACTAATTGAAATTTACTACGACTAATTATGACGTTATGAATGCTTACATTGAGAATAGGTGACCAAACTTCTACGCTAATTGAAACCACTAATTTATTACACTAATTGGGAGGTTCTGAATGAAGCTTCTTCTTCTTCGGGGTCCATCTCCTAATGGAGGTTGGAAATCATCATGGCAATTCTAACTTTGTTAACGGCTGCTCTGAATAACTGGTTTGAAGCCATTCTGCCCTTTATCTTTCCTTCTATTATGTTCTGCAGCAGGGCATATTTAGGTCCTCTCATTATGTGTTCAAAGTACTCGATTTTTCCCTTTTTAAGAGTGTTAATCACCTCTTCGTCCTCTTCTGAATTCTGCGTCGCAGTTCTACATTTGTAACCTTGTCAGTCCATGCAATCCTCAGCATACGCCGATAACACCATCCTTCGAATGCCTCAAGCTTCTCCATTTCGGCCTTTTTAAGTGTCCAAGCCTCTGAACCATAGAGTAGAGTTGCAAATATGTAACCCCTTAGCATTCTTAATCTAAGCTTTAAGTTGTTGTCTCCACTGCAGAGACATTTTTTGAGTTTTACAAAGGCTGCTCTGGCTATTTCTATTCGAGCTTTTATTTCTGCTGATTGATCCAAGTTTTCGGTCAACCAACTGCCTAGATATTTGTATTTTTGTTCTCTCTCCATAGGTGTATCATCTATTAGAAGATTGGCTTGGACATCTTCTCTCTTAGTGATTATCATAAATTTAGTTTTTTAGGGTTCATTTTCAGGCCATAGACTCTACACGTGTTGGTTAGTCTTTGTAGAAGTGTTTGCATACTCTCCACGTTGTCTGCTATAAGGACGGTATCGTCCGCGAACCGCATATTATTTAAGACCTGCCCATTAATAGTGATGCCCTCCTTTCTACTAGTCAAGGCCTCCAGAAAAATTGATTCGCTATATATATTAAACAATAGCGGAGAAAGTATACTTTTGTGGAATGAAACTTAATAGGTAATAATTGTCGTCTAAGTATTTTCTATCTGTGACGTTTATTTCCACCACAGTTTTAGTGCACCAAATTTACAACATGCTTTCATGAAAAATTATCGGTAATTTTGATGCACTTTGGTAATTACTTCCGAAAATTTTTGATTTATCTCGGTCGTAAGGTCTGAGACATTTCTTCGAGTGTAGGAATGCTACAGGTGCTACAATGCTACAAGTTATGAATGCACTCTTGCAGGTTCTTGAGTTCTACTTAGGTATTAACCCTTTATAGTTTGATGGTCGCTAAATCGACCACTTTGATTTAACCAAGTAAACAGTTGCGCAGGCTGTCAATTAATCTATACTTATTAAGTAAAATGTTGTATGCTGCATCCTTCTTCACCCTATCATGATATTCTGGTGATTTAATTCTCCAAAGACACTGCTGATTTTCGTATGCGCGAATAAAATCTTCCAATAATCCTGAACTGCTCCTTTTCAGATCACTAGACATGATGGCGATGGGAGGTACATGTCATTTACGATCACAGACTGAACTAATTGTTTGTACAAGCTGAATACATGTGGTACACACGTACCGTTTCGCTTGCGTAAGCATGGCTTGTCCAAGCTTGCATGATTCAAATTCAATCAATCATCAAGGGGCTTGCTCAATTAAAATGCTTGCGCAAATTTTCCCTACAGACGCTACAGTTTGCTTGTACAAAAAGATTGTTCATGCATGCTCGTCAAGCTTGCAGTAGTGTGTGTAGCCATCTTTAGCTTATAAAACAATAAACTTTTGATTTCTAACCAAAATTTTTCTTGACGGAAGATAATCAAAGGCCAAAATTACATTCCTCGCAAATTTGAAGTATAATCGTGGAAAAGTCAAAAGTTTGTTAACTTTTTCGACTAATTGAAATTTACTACGACTAATTATGACGTTATGAATGCTTACATTGAGAATAGGTGACCAAACTTCTACGCTAATTGAAACCACTAATTTATTACACTAATTGGGAGGTTCTGAATGAAGCTTCTTCTTCTTCGGGGTCCATCTCCTAATGGAGGTTGGAAATCATCATGGCAATTCTAACTTTGTTAACGGCTGCTCTGAATAACTGGTTTGAAGCCATTCCAAACCATTCTCTCAAATTCTTGAGCCATGATGTTCTTCTTCTTCCTTGGCTCCTTCTGCCCTTTATCTTTCCTTCTATTATGTTCTGCAGCAGGGCATATTTAGGTCCTCTCATTATGTGTTCAAAGTACTCAATTTTTCTCTTTTTAAGAGTGTTAATCACCTCTTCGTCCTTCTGAATTCTGCGTCGCAGTTCTACATTTGTAACCTTGTCAGTCCATGCAATCCTCAGCATACGCCGATAACAGCATCATTCGAATACCTCAAGCTTCTCCATTTCGGCCTTTTTAAGTGTCCAAGCCTCTGAACCATAGAGTAGAGTTGCAAATATGTAACCCCTTAGCATTCTTAATCTAAGCTTTAAGTTGTTGTCTCCACTGCAGAGACATTTTTTGAGTTTTACAAAGGCTGCTCTGGCTATTTCTATTCGAGCTTTTATTTCTGCTGATTGATCCAAGTTTTCGGTCAACCAACTGCCTAGATATTTGTATTTTTGTTCTCTCTCCATAGGTGTATCATCTATTAGAACATTGGCTTGGACATCTTCTCTCTTAGTGATTATCATAAATTTAGTTTTTTAGGGTTCATTTTCAGGCCATAGACTCTACACGTGTTGGTTAGTCTTTGTAGAAGTGTTTGCAGACTCTCCACGTTGTCTGCTATAAGGACGGTATCGTCCGCGAACCGCATATTATTTAAGACCTGCCCATTAATAGTGATGCCCTCCTTTCTACTAGTCAAGGCCTCCAGAAAAATTGATTCGCTATATATATTAAACAATAGCGGAGAAAGTATACTTTTGTGGAATGAAACTTAATAGGTAATAATTGTCGTCTAAGTATTTTCTATCTGTGACGTTTATTTCCACCACAGTTTTAGTGCACCAAATTTACGGCTTGGATGATATTTTCTAAAGTCGTTAACATATTATATGTATATTTTCGTTCATAGGATGCGGGTATCTTAAAAAACAAAATTTTATTTACAGATATGGGCTTATTTTGGAGTAGACCTCCTACGACCCCAAAGAAATTAAAAAAAATTGATGGGCGCACAGTAAATGTTGATCATGCCATGCGAAAGATCGATGTGGGTCAACATCTACCTATAAAAGGTACGAGCAGAAGATGTGCTCATTGTAGTACTTCAAAGAAAAGCAAACGATCACAAATGATGTGCCAAAAATGTGATGTGGCTCTATGTTTGGAATGCTTTGCACCATTTCATATTCTGTAAATCACAGTAGTTCGTATTAAAATCGTATGATACGTTTGTGTTTTCGAAATATGTTTGTATTTTTTTGAAGGTTTTATTGCAAATAAAAATGTATTATAACAATTTTTGTTTTCTATATGGTTGATATTTTAACCAGATACATATACCGGGTGCGTCTTAACCTCTATAACTTTTTTATTTCTTCAGATAAAAAAACGAGATTTGGTATGTTAGTATATGAAATAAATTAGAAGTGGTTGACGTATTCAATTGTTTTCGGTCACTTCCTGTTTCACCGGAAATAACTATAATTTTTGATTTTTAAATGTTTTTTTTTTAAATAAATATATGCCTTTATTGTCAAAAAATTTTACAATTTGTAGACAAAGATAAAGTAAACAAACAAAAGAGAATACAAAACAAGTATACAAATTACATTATCAGTCTTATTGTTTAAAATAAACATTTATAAATGTTTACAATGTCAAAGAATAAAAAAATAAAAATAATATTCAAAAATGTTTAGTAAGTTTATAGTAAATATAGTAATAGCAAATATTAGACCAGTATTTACAAGATCAAATTCGATTATAAAAAATATAAGTTATTTACGGCGTAGAAAGCCTTGCCTAGTATATAAATAAGATTTCAATGCTTTGCGAAATGAAGAAAATGATGTTATGGATTTGATTTCAAATGGCAGGTGATTGTGCATTTTTCGAGTTGTATAATATGAACTTTTAACTAGCTCTGAGCGTGGGGTAGGTAGATAACGATCTTGCTCCGCGTTCTTTTCTTCTCTAATACATGCTTACGTATTAGGCAAACGGATTTAAATATAAATAAGGAAGAAAGAGTTAATGTTTTTTGTTTAGTTACTATCTTTAACAGTCTATAAAGTGTGTTAGATCAAGTGAATATTATAGATAATTGTTTGGTAATTTAGTTGAAATGTTAGAAAAGTTTTGTTAGATTTGCAACTTTAGGAATAGATAAAGTAGGTAGGGTATAAAATCGTGTTTTATTATTTATTACTTCCTGATTTTCAATAAATTACTGTATTGTTGGTATTTTAGTAATCAAAACGGAATATCCGCAGCTCTCTGAGATTTTTCGCAATGTAATTTTCGAAGGGAATCAATGCCCAGTTTGTGGAAAACAGTTCAAAAGAAAGGACCATGTCCAGAGACACTACCTCGAAATGCATTTATCCAAAGAAAATCGTTATGGATTCCCTTGCAAGCTGTGCAAGAAGCTTTTCAAAAGGAAATACCTCATGGAAAACCACGAGAAAATATGCTTGGGAGTGGAAAAGGGTATTAAATGTTTCAAATGTGACCATATGTTCCATACCAAAGGAAAATGGATACATCACTTGAAGAAAGCACATGCTTTTGACATGGTTTCCATGTGATGTCTGCTTTTTTTATTTATTTTTTTGTAGTTTTTTTGCTATATTTTTTCTTTCTTGATCTGTTTATTTTTGTAAGCTTATTTATTATCTAACGCATACCTTTGTTGAATCTATTTCACAAAAACTGTGTAAAAGGACTCGAAAATATTTGTCAGAGATTTTAAAATATTTATTTTAAAATTTTTGTAAATTATTATGATTTTTTTTTGCTAATGTGTGAAAAATTTGGACCTTAAATATATCAAGTTTGGTCATATACATATATTGTGTTCTATACCAAAAACTAATGAATACATTTTTAAATACAGCCCATAATTCGACGTGATTACCATGTAATCGGATTGTATTCTTATTTATTTATTTTTCCAATTTTGTACTTTTGTTAGTTTTAGGTTTTTCTCCTTTAATTTATTTTTGCTTAGCTTTTAGTGTTATTTTATTCAATTAAGTACTTTTTATCTGTTTTCTCCAAGACTGGTTCGTAAAAATTATTTGGTTAAAACAATTTTAGTTACCATATTTTTTTAGCTGATTTTTTTTCACAAAAATGTACAGTTTTTATTGAAACTTTTGTTTTTATTGAAACTTTTATCTAAAACTGCAAAAATTTTATTATATAGCTACAATAAACCAAATAATATATTATTATTTCTACATAATGAAGGATAATTTTTCTAAAATTCAGTTACTGTTAAAAATAATTTAAATTTTAGACAAAGTCCTAAAATTTTCATAATTATACAATTTTTAATGGTACTTATTTAAAAGATACGATACATGAATAATTTGTCCTTTATATTCTTAAGTGTGTGATTTGTTTTACTATTTATTTTATAGAATTAAGGTAGACTTAGATTAGTTAAGTGTCTTAGAGCCAAGAAGGTGCCTTGACTGACCTCAGAAGACTCATATTTACGTATACCTGACAAAATGTATTTTTATATTTTTGGAATAAAGAATTTTTTGAGTGTGATTTAAGATTTTTTTGATCAAAAGAGACTCTATGTTTCTCTATGTAAATGATGTTGTTAATACAAAAGGTTTAAAGAGTACAAATTTAGACGAAACATTTTTTGGTGATGATGCTGGGAAAAAACTCATTTTATTTTTTTTTAATTGGCTTCATTATTAAATATGTATTTATTATTTTATAATACTATACGATCAAAACATTTATGATCAAGTAGGTAGGTAACTTCATTACTCTATTTAGAATTGTTTTTACTTTGTTGCATTTTAACCAAATACAACGTTACAATATCTTAATTACTTAGTTAGAGTTTTTCACGAGTTGACTTATAAATTGTTTTAGGCTACAAAGCATTACATTGCTTCACGTGTATTCGCTGTGGAAGGGCCTATAAAAATCAAACGTCACTAAGTAGACATGTTCATCATGAATGCGGCATGTCACCCAAGTTTTCTTGCCCCTGTTGCAACAGGACATTTCACAGAAAAGACAGATTTAAATCACATTTGCGAGTACACGCATTACAAGGAATAAGACTACGTGGATATCAAGATTGTTTGTAGTTGTAATTAGTGGCAATTATATCATTTTTTTTTGTAATGTTTGTCATTACAATCAAATGAAACGTCATGTGACTGCGTAAATAATAATATCAACCTGATGGGGCATTTAATGTAAAACTAAGCTGTTTTATAGTTTCTCAATTCAAATTTTGAAATTAGTTATTACTAATTTTCAACTCGAGAAATTGTATTTTTTACCTAATTTTGAATTTTACCAAAAATATGTTTATTTTTACGTTTACTTAAACCAAAGGATAAATCAATCACAGAAGGCTTTAATTTGTTTATTACTTTTTTTAACAGTTTTAATTAAGTTTATAGTAAATGAGAACCAAAGACAAAATATTTATTACCTTAAGAAATACCACCTATGATAGTGACATTTTTATATCTTATTTATATACAGGGTCCGGCAATAGTGCGTCGGGCATCTGTAGCTCCTAGAATAAAAAACTTGAGAATTTTGTTTAAGTGCAAACCTAAAGTATGTACCAGGATGTATTTCAGGAAAATATTTTAACTTCTATAGGGTGGCTCAAAAAAGTGTGAGTGGACCTGGATGATTTTTTTTAAATGGAACACCCTGTATATTATTGCATTTTGGCTTCCTTTCAGATCACGTTACATAACCCTCAGATATGAATGAATATATTTCGATAGTTTCAGAGATATTATTAAAAATAAATCAAAATATATATTTTTCAGCCCTTCTGAAAAAAAATTATTAAAAATACAAGAACTTTTCTGAAATCAAAACTACATTAGGTATTTACATTAGATGGTCTGTTCTTACTTTGCTATAAATATGAAAATCTTAAATTATACAGGATGTTCAAATTCTACGCCAAACTTACTAAAATATAAAATAATTTTTCTTCGTTTTTTAAATGGAACACCCTGTATATTATTTTTCAATAGACGGAGAATTAAAAATGAACATTTTTTGTATTTAGAGTATTTCAAAATTTTGAACGGTTTCGCAGATATTTGCGGTTTTATATTTCATATGGCATTTTCCACAGTAAATTTTTATCAAAGCCAACCAATGATTTTTCTCTGATATTTTACCATTGAAAGCGCCATATGAAATAATAACTGCGTGTATTTGCGAAATCGTTAAGAATTTTGAAATACTCTAAATACAAAAAATGTTCATTTTTTTACTCTCCATCTAATAAAAAAATAATAAACAGGGTGTTCCATTTAAAAAAAAACAAAGAAAAAAATATTTTATATTTTAGAAAGTTTGGCGTAGAATATTGAACATCCTGTATGATTTACGATTATCATATTTATAGCAAAGTGAGAACAGACCATCTAATGTAAATACCTAATATAGTTTTGATTTCAGGACAGTTTTTGTATTTTTAATTAAATTTTTTTAAGAAGGGCTGAAAAATATATATTTTTGATTTATTTTTTAATATCTCTGAAACTATCGAAATATATTTATTCATATCTTAGGGTTATGTAAAGTGATCTGAAAGGAAGCCAAAAATGCAATAATATACAGGGTGTTCCATTTAAAAAAATCATCCAGGTCCACTCACACTTTTTTGAGCCACCCAATAGAAGTTAAAATATTTTCCCGAAATACATCCTGGTACATACTTTAGGTCTGCACTTAAACAAAATTCTCAAGTTTTTTATTCTAGGAGCTACAGATACCCGACGCACTATTGCCGGACCCTGTAGATATAAGGTATGCCCCAGGATTGTCTTTACAAGAGGGAAAACTGTATTAAAAATTAATTCTTCAAATTTTTTGCTTGTTCTAAAATGATTAATCTCGTTTATACTTTTTTTGTTTTAGAGAAACTTAAAAAAAAACATGAAAATATGCTTAAGGTAGGGTTGCCAACCGTCCTCTATTCCAGAGGACAGTCCGCTTTTTGATCCCACTGCTCTCTTTTCTCTGACGTATTGAAAAAGTCTTTTTTACATACCAAACTCAAAATATAAAAATCTGTGTCTTTCGCTACTCCCACTCGTTTGTACAGAAAAGAAAATGAACAAATCCAAAAATTTGTGGAAGCGATAAACACGTTTTACTATTTTATGTAAAGTTTTGTTGAAAATGGTTTGTTTTATTTTAACAAATTTTGAGTATAAATATTTTTAAAAAAGTAAAAGGTACATTCAGGCTGAGAGCGTCGAGCGTCGCGTTTGCGTCGCGTCCGTGTGTCGAAATGGAATCAATTCACTTAACTTAAATTAGACCGTTTAGGCAGACAGCGTCGCGTTTGGCGTTGCGCTAGCGTCCGGTGAGCGTCGGGATTCGAGTTCAACGGGGCGGACACGACGCTCGACGCCCTCAGCCTGAATGTACCTTAAGAAAGACCATCAATCGCATGGCGTTTACATAACGTTTTGGTAAATTTTAGAGATTTGGGCGAGGTTTCAAAAAATGTTTGAAGCGTGTGCTTCTTTTTTACCCTCTCGTCCTCTATTTTTTTATTTTGAAAGTTGGCAACCCTAGCTTAGTCAAGTCCTAAAAATCAGAAGGCTCTATGGCAATTTAATTTCGATTTCATTCTTTGATAGATGGTTATTATTTTGATTAATCTATACTAATATAAAATCCTGAAGTGACTGACTCACTGATTAATCACGATCCTGCTCAAACCACTCAATGTAAGAAGCTCAATTTTGGCATACATGTTGATCCTAGGGTGTAGAGGTTCGATAAGAAGGGATTTTTCGAAATTCCAGTTCCAAGGGGGTGAAACCACAACTCAAATATTACAATATTTTTTTTATTTAAAAACTGGTGAGTTTTTCGGAAAACCTCTTAAACACGTATATTTTATTTTGTTGTTTTACATATTTTAAGATTTTTTAAAAATTTATACAGGGTGTTTCATAAAATATGACCATTGAGTAACCAGGATTCTGCTTAAACTGCTTGACGTTTAAAGCTGATTTTTGCCAAACAGATTGACTGTGGAGTGTAGAGGTTCGATAAGGGGGGGTTTCTCGAATCTTAAATTCCAAGAGGGTGAAAACGCCCCTCAAATATTACAATATTTGTTATTTAAAAAACGGTTAGTCTTTCGGGAAAACGCTTGGACACGCATAATTTATTTTGTTTTTTTACATATTTTGAAATTTTTTAAAAAATCGTACAGGGTGTTCCAAAAATTTGAGTAATTTCTTAACCACGATTCTGCTTAAACTGCTGGACGTAAAAAGCTTATTTTTGGCAAATGGATTTTTCGAAAGTCAAATTCCAAGGAGATGAAACTACCCCTCAAATATTACCAAGTTATATAATAATATCGCCATATTGTTTTTTCTCATGCTGACATAAATGTGAGAAAATTTTATCCAGTTTGTATGTTAATGGCAATTCTTGCTTTGCTTTATCATCACCATTACAAATGATTAATTCAACGCGAACGAAGTCGCGGGTACACGCTAGTGTCATATATTTTGCCGTTGTTGAAGTATCACAGTTTCCGATAACTATTGCCACTCTTTTCGTAGCACTGAACTAAATAAATTTTGTGCTTTAACTTTTTAAAATAGCAAAAAATATGACGTTAATTAAAATTCTATCAATTACAATCTGTCAAACAATGAAAATGAAATTGTATTATCATAGAAACGCGTTTTGATTTTTGGGACTTAAAAATCATATCGCGTTAAAAAATTCAATTATATTTTCATGGTTTTTCCAATTTTTTCTAAAACGGTATGGAAATTTGAAAAAGTATAAACGGATTTATGAAGAATGCTTTTTTTCTTAAAATGTCAATAGGTAATGAAAGAGTAATTTCCTCTTGTAAAGACAATCCGGGAACATACTGTATTTATGTTCTAAAAGATTTTTATAATTAAAATGTAGTGTTGATATTTGTTCATTTCTTAAATATGAATTCAAAAAATTTAGTTACTATGTGAAGGAAAATCGATTATAACAAAATTATATTAGCAATTTTTCAATTTAATCGATGTGTTTTCTGCATGAGAACAATTTTATAGCATTATTTATATATTAGTTACCTATTGTTATTTTTCTGTGTGGAGAATAACATAAATATCTAGTCTACTTAACTAAAGAATAATTCAATTATGTTAATAAAATGTGTTCGAATTTTAATTAAAGTGTTTTTTATTCTTAACTCTTGTAGGGGGTTCTGGACTTTTAAATATAATTTATGGTACTAAGTAAATGTGTCTCATATTGAAATCACGGTCGATGTAGCTGCCAGCTGGTAATAGTCACTTGTTTTTGAGTCTTCTGCGCTTGTTCTCGTGAATATTCCAAGAATCAGAACTGTGCTACCTCTAAGATCTAACAACTATAAGTATAATCAAAAACTAGTAACACAAAATAAGTTTATTTATATCAATACTCCGACATTACAATTCTCAATCATAGGTTAATAACTCGACTGTCAACCAGGGTTGCCAACTCTCGAAGTTTCTTGTTCACGCGAGCGGTTTATGGTTACTCAACACATTGCCACAAGAACGACAGTCTCTAATGTTTTATTAAACAAAGTTTCAATGGAGCTTAGAACCCGAGTTTTTATCTATACTAATATATAAAATCTTTAAGTGACTGATTAATCACGATCCTGCTCAAACCACTCAACGTAAGAAGCTGAATTTTGGCATACAGGTTGATTCTAGGGTGTAGAGGTTCGATAAGAAGGGACTTTTCAAAATTTCAGTTCCAAAGGGGTGAAATATTTTTTATTTAAAAAACGGTCAAGTTTCCGAAAAAAACGCTTAAACACGTATATTTTATTTTGTTTTTTACATATTTTAAGATGTTTTAAAAATGTATACAGGGTGTTTCGAAAAATCTGGTCATTGATTAATCACGGTCCTGCTTAAAGGGCTTGACGATAAAAGCTGATTTAACGGATTGAAACGGATTGACTTTAGGGTGTAGAGCTTCGATAAGAAGGCATTTTTCAAAACTCGAATTCTGAGGGGGTGAAACCACCCCTCAAATATTAGAATATTTTTTATTTGAAAACCGGTGAGTTTTTCGGAAAAACTATTAAATACGTATATTTTATTTCGTTGTTTTACATATTTTAAGATTTTTTAAAAATTTATACAGGGTGTTTCATAAAATATGGTCATTGAGTAATCACGATTCTGCTTAAACTGTTTGACGTTTAAAGCGGTTTTTTGGCAAACGGATTGACTGTGGGGTGTAGAGGTTCGATAAGGAGGGGTTTCTCGAATCTCAAATTCCAAGTGGGCGAAAACGCCCCTCAAATATTACAATATTTGTTATTTAAAAAACGGTTAGTCTTTCGGGAAAACGCTTGGACACGCATAATTTATTTTGTTTTTTTTTAAAAATCATACAGGGTGTTCCAAAAAGTTGGGTAATTGATTAACTACGATTCTGCTTAAACCGTTTGACGTAAAAAACTTATTTTTGGCAAACGGGTTTTTTGAAAGTCAAATTCCAACGAGATGAAACTACCCCTCAAATATTACCAAGTTATATAATAATATCGCCATATTGTTTTTTTTTCATGCTGACATAAATATGAGAAAATTTTATCCAGTTTGTATGTTAATGGAAATTCTTGCTTTGCTTTATCATCACCATTACAAATGATTAATTCGACGCGAACGAAGTCGCGGGTACACGCTAGTATAAGATAAGCGAATATATCTACAGTTCATACCAAAAAATATTATAATATTATTTTTATTAACATTTTTTTTATTGTATATTTAAAGCCACGCATTTCAGGCCCAATGTTTATAGGAAGTGTTTTCCATATTTTTTGATGAGAAATCACTCCATGAAATCTAGCTGTGCATTTTTTTAACACCCTGTATAGTATTGATCTCCTGATGATGCTTACATGGTGATAGAAATATGCTTTCTTCAGTGTCAACCTTAAAATAATGAATTTTAGTATATTGTGGCATATTTTTCTTTAACTACTACGACTAGAAAGTATTATATACTATTCTACTTTGTTCAAAAACTGTGTAAATTTAGCATTTTTTTAAGTTTATGGCTTGCTTAATTTATTACTATTTTTTCTGAAATCTATGTATATTACTATATGTTACAACAGAAACTAACTCTATGGTTAAGGTATGTGAATAACACTAAACACTGTACACAGTGACCGAAAAAAAACGACACACATGGTAGATTTTAATTGTATTTTAGGTAGGAGGTGTTTTATCACCACAGACCAAGAAATTATCGGTCAAGTGATCGACCTGGTCCATAACGGAGCCTCAATAAGGAAAGCAGCATCAAAATTGAACATCTCCAAAAGTTCGGTGCACACGATCTTGAAAAAATACAGGGCCAACGTGGGGGTGCATTTTCTGAATTTGGAACAAGATTCCGGGTCACTATTGTCGAAGGGCGATGACGATGAGGATAGTTTGGACACCAAACCGTTTTTTAGTATAAAAACTTCATGGAACTGACATAGGATGATAGTTAGAGTGTAATGGGCCGTCCACGTGTGCATTAGGGTTTCTGTTATTTCCCAAGTTGATTTTTTTTGCTGCCGCCCCCTGGGAGAATATGTCTTTGTCGAAGCTGTAGGTTCATTTGCTTTGGAGATAAAAAATCAATTGCAAAAGGTCAGAAAATCCCACGTTATTTAAATGATAAAAGTATCATGATTCCGGCACGGTTTAAATTAAAAATTAAGAGCTTGTTTACGTTGGATAAATTTTTTTTAGAGCATAAACTAAAATTTCAGAGGGCGGCAGCAGAAATAAAATCAACTTGAGAAATAACGGAGACCCTAATGTACATATTTTGCTTTACTTAAAACTTACACTTAACAGTAAGTAAACATAAAAAGCTAATCATGTTTATGACTTCTATATAAATTTCTTGTAATTCTATATAAATTTGTTCTGTGTAAATTTTTTTGTGAGCAGTGTATTTCATCCAAGTACTTGCCCTTTAACCGTATCAACTAGGCTTTAAGCAAGTTGCATTCGTGTGGACGGCTCATTGAACTAATATTGTTATTAAACTGATATTGTTGAAATGTTAATAGTTAATAATGTTAACAAAAGTATTTTTTTTTTAATGAAGTTGAGAAATATGTTAGTGTTAAAGAATTCACATATATTTTATTTATAATATATTTGTTATTTTTTTAAGTAGTTTTTCTAACTATAGCGTATGATTAGTGGTTATTATCTCAGAAAAATAAGTAAACCTAGAGTGTTAAAGGAAATTAAAATTTAGTTGAGTGTTGGTTTTCAGTGATACTTTAAAATAATGTCTATGTGATGTTGTAATAAGTACAAAAAAAACTTGGGTATTTATATATCGAGGAACCTCCAAGTTTACTTATTTCTATGAGACTGTTAGATTGTAATTTAATAATTTGATTTCGGTCCAAAGAGAATTAAAACAAATACTTTTATTTAATTTTATTTTTATTTTTTATTATAATTTTTGTTCAGAAGTGGGATAATTAGTATTAAAATATGGATAGTTATTTTATATTGTTAGTTCACAACCTTTATTGTTTTTTTTACATATTTTTAGGTCCGTTTGATTGTAAATACTGTTCGAAGATATATAGTGTTAGAAGATCGTTATGGAGGCACGAAAAGTACGAATGTAAACAACTTCAGAAACCATTTGCCTGTGTTGTTCCACACTGTAACTTTCGGACTGCTAGAAAATATGTTTTGAGTAACCATATGAGGCTTAAACACAATATGTTATAACCTATTTGACATAATATATCTAAAACATCACCGCCAGTTCAAAAAAAATGAAGCCAAAGTCATTTCTATCAAAAAAATATAGAGAAGAGTTTGAATTTTAAAGTTAGTGATTAGTACAATTATTATGGATATTCTATTGTATTGTAAACCTATGATTTGATCATTGTCAAATATTATGGGGTTTATAATGTCGATTCCAGTCTCTAAAGCATGAATATATGGATACCATTATATTCCTTCTTTAATCTTTTTATTAAAAGCTTTTGATCGTCTTCTAGCAATGTCTAGGTATAGTTGCGGTTGAATTAAGCTGTCAAAATCTGTACTTAACTCATTTTTCGACATAGAGACAGAGATTAACTTTTTTTATGAATGAGAATGTATTACAAAGTTACCTAGTTCAATACTTAAAAGTTTTTATTTTTCTTAATATATTTGCAGCAATTTAATGTCCTTATTGTTTAATATTTTTTAGGGTACACTTGTTACAAATGTGGAAAAGTATACAAAAACAAGCCGTCGTTCATAAAACACGTGAACGTGTTCTGTGGTTTGGAACCGAAATTTTTCTGCAAATTTCCCGGCTGTGGATACAAGAGTCATATGAAGAGCAATCTGAAGAGACACACTTATTCACTGCACTATTCTTCAATGTTGAAGACTGAACCATCTTTTTAGAGAGACAAGGGACATGCTCTTCAGAGAGAGTAGGCTTACCTCTTGCATGTACTGGATGTCCTAGATTCGAAATTGATCATTGGAATATTGGAAATTATAAGAGAAGTATTTTAATGTTGGACAAAAAATTGTTTAGATTAATCATAATTTGACCTTCTTCGAATCTGTTGTTTTTCGACGTTTCTGTTGTTGTTGCTTCCGACAGTAAACCCTTGAATTTTGAACATCCTGTATTTGTTCTGTATGCCATGTAGCACTATTTGAGTGGTTGTATTTAAGCGTGTTACAACTTCAATAATAATGAGCGATAATCGATCTAGGTTAGGACAGAACATCAAAAACAACGTTATATTAAATTTATAATATGTGTATACTATATTTGTGTAGCTCTTAGAATAAAAAATTTGGGAATTTTGTTTGAAGACTGAACCATCTTTTTAGAGAGACAAGGGACATGCTCTTTAGAGAGAGTAGGCTTACCTCTTGCATGTACTGGATGTCCTCGATTCGAAATTAATCATTGGAATATTGGAAATTATAAGAGAAGTATTTTAATGTTGGACAAAAAATTGTTTAGATTGATCATAATTTGACCTTCTTCGAATCTGTTGTTTTTCGACGTTTCTGTTGTTGTTGCTTCCGACAGTAAACCCTTGAGTTTTGAACATCCTGTATTTGTTCTGTATGCCATGTAGCACTATTTGAGTGGTTGTATTTAAGCGTGTTACAACTTCAATAATAATGAGCGATAATCGATCTAGGTTAGGACAGAACATCAAATACAACGTTATATTAAATTTATAATATGTGTATACTATATTTGTGTAGCTCTTAGAATAAAAAATTTGGGAATTTTTTTTAAATACAAACCTAACGTATGTACGGGGATGTATTTCAGGAAAATAGTTTTACCTTTTACCTTCTATAGGGTGGCTCAAAAAATGTCACGTGTTTTATTAAAAAAAAAATTATTTTATATTTTAGAAAGTTTGGCGTAGAATTTTGAACACCTTGTATGATTTAAGGTATAATAAATAAAAAATATAGATCATACAGAAAAGTATAGATCATCTAAAGTAAATGCCTAATATAGTTTTGATTTCAGGACATTTCTTGTGTTTGTAATATCTATTTAAAGAAGGCTGAAGAAAATATATTTTTTATTTATTTATTAATATCTCTGAAATTATCGAAATATATTTCCTCATATCTTAGGATTGTGTAAAGTAATCTGAAAGGAAGCCAAAAATATACAGCGTGTTCAATTAAAAAAATCATCCCGACCCACTCACACTTTTTTGAGCCACCGTATAGAAGTTAAAATATTTTCCTGAGATACATCCATGTACATACTTTAGGTGTATACTTAAAACAAAATTCTCAAGTTGTATGAAACAACCCTCTATGAAAATTCAATTTTACGGATTAGTTTTTAGTGATATCAAACAATTTAAAAAAATACTGTATACTTAATAAATGCTGTCTGTTACAATTAATGTATTCTTGCTGTTTATTATAAGATTGCCTTCATTTTTAGTTGTTTAATTATCCCTCTAATAAAAACTGCAATAGACAACGAAGAGAGAAATAAATAACAGTTATTTATTATACAGGGCGTCGATCCGTTCTATATTTATGCAATTAGCCGGCAATTCATAGCCGTGTCATAAATATTTTAGGTAACATTACTTATTTATAAAAAAAAAATCAAAAATACCCAATCACTTTTATTTTTTCAACGTTTTTTCCACGTAAACGAGACATAATCTTTATAAAAATTAAGAAACTAAGAAGAAAAACAATAAAAAAATCAATAAAACTATTAACAGATAACGACTGCACAGTTCTCCAAGCTCGGTCTGCTACCGTTTTAATCGATGTTTCTCGTAAAAAATTAGGCGACGCGTCCCGTCAATAAAAATTCGACAAATTTACAAGTAGCCAATGTAATGAGTGAGCGGAGTGTGATTTATAGTGACATACTCGTCAAGTCTTGGACGTGGACTACGGTTGCCAACTTTTAAGTAAACTATTTTTTTAAGAACTCGCTCAAATGTTGTCAAGAATTTAACCTAAAAGAAATGTAAATGTTATGCGGTTATTGGGTCTTTCTGAAAAATACACACACCGGAAAACTCTAGGGATATTACAATTTTATCCAGCCATCGTGAGTAATTTTATTATTTGCATTTCTGATATAATAAAATTAAAATAATCAAATAGTTTACAGGACGTATTGGAAATAAAAATGCGAAATTTATCGAATTTTTCAAATTTACCTTGATTTTTATTGAACTCAAAAAAATGCACACATTTTTTTATTATTCTAAACTGTGAATTAAAAAAAATATAACCATTTTTACTTAATAAAGGGTATAGCATCCTCTACTGTTCATTGCAGCCCTACATTGTCTCTCCATGCTCCTGATCAGGTTGTCGATCTCTTCTTGATGTACAGCCTACCACGCTGCATTCACGGCCCGAAGGAGATCCCTACGAGTTTCACGAGGCATACCCATTCTCAAAATTCTGCTTTGGACCGCGTCCCATACGTGCTCGATGGGGTTGAGGTCAGGAGATTGTGCCGGCCAGGGTAAGATATTTAATTGATGAGCATTGATAAACTCACTTACCACTCTGGCTGTATGAGGCCGTGCATTGTCATGCATGAGAATGAAGTTTCTCCCAAAATCATTGACATATGGTAACACGACAGGCTCAAGAATTAAATCACGATATGTGATTCCTGTTAGAAACCTTTCAAGAATAACGAGATCGGTTTGCCGCCTAACTGGACTCCTCCCCAGATCATAACTGTTCCACCTTGATAAGGGTGCACTTCCTGAACATGATCCAACCGAATAAGATTTCCCGGTTCTCTCTCTAGGGGGCTTGGAACCGAAATATTTCAGCGAATTTCCCGGCTGTGCATACAAGAGTTATTTGAAGAGCAATGTGAAGAGACACAGTTACTCACTGCATTATTCCTCAAAGCTGGATGCTGAACCATCTTCTTAGAATGTGTCTTAGTTTTCCTACATACAAGATACTGTTGAATTTTAAAAATTTTTGGGAAAATTAAAAACAAAAACTACTTTAAAGATACTTTTGTTAAATACCCAATGTATTGTTGGTGTCTATTATAAGATAATTCTTTTACTTGTTTAATTAAATCATCTAGTAAAATAGTACGAGCAATACAGTAAAAAATTGGGTAATTCATGCTTTTTATTCTAGGACATGTTTGTTCTAAATGTGGAAAGAAATATGGCCAGGTGGATTCTTTACGAGTCCACAAGAGTGTCTATTGTGGCAAAGAGCCTAAATATTACTGTAACGTACCAGGATGTGCATACAAGAGCCATTTGAGGACAAACCTCTCTAGACATATTAAGTCTATGCACTAGACTTTATTGTAAACCAATTTTCAATTTATAAACAATAAAAAAAGTTAAAAATCTAAGAAAAATGGGTTTTTATTATTACTCACATGTATTTTTTTCCATAACAAGGGGCCGTCCTCTGCCGGAAACACTGCGACCTGTGAGGCCTATTGTGTTTTTCCCCCATCTATATCTGCACCCACTCTCCCATCTCTGTACCCTGCACTAACTTATGCAGGTCCTTGATAGGATGGGAGCATAGTTCCTCCGATTCTAGCCTAGCTTTCCCAAATAAAAAGTATCGCTTGCGATCCAGAGCCTCGCAATGACATATTATGTGCTCCGCTGTTTCAGGGTCTTTATCGCGCAGTCTGCAGCAAAGACTTCCTTGATACAGGTTGAGCTTGTTCAGGTAACACTTGACAGCCATGGGTCCTGTCAAGAGGCCTGTTGTAATCCGCACTTTATTCCTGTTAAGCATTAGCAGTTCTTTTGCGGTTTTAGAGCTAGGTGCTTGGATAAAAGCCTTGCTGTGCCTGTGCCCCTGTCTGTTTCTCCAATGGGCATTGTGCTTTTCCCTGATCCAGAGTTTTAGTGCACTACGGGCCATACATTTGGGTATTCCCAGTACTGGCTCTGGACCAAGATAGGATGCCGATGATCCCTGCCTAGCTAGCTCATCGGCTTTTTCGTTGCCTTGGATGCCGCTGTGGCCCGGTACCCAGAACAACTTAATTTAATTCACTCACATGTATACATGCATATAAAATAAATAATAACACACGCGTGAGTTTGTGAAGTTATATCACACTAGTGTGTTATAACTCCAAAGTCACACCATTTTATAGAACTTATTAAGCCTTATTCATAAATTACTAATTCAATTATTTATTTAAATTAATATTAACATTAAATGAAAATGATTTTTTTGTAGATTCAGAAATTGTAAAACCTTGTATGCCTCCAGATGCTGTCCCTCCACTACTTGAAATAAGCTCGGTCATTACAACGGCTCGTTCTGGAACACTTACATCACCTTGAATCTTTTTCGCAATCTCTATTTTATTGTTGATGGACTCTTCGATATATACTTCCCCAACCGTTGCAGATCGCCATCTTCCGTTTCTTTTTAACGTTGTCATGTTCACTCCTGCATTTGCCAGTAACGTAGCGGATGATCTTCTCATAGCCTAAGAGCTGACGACATATTTAGAGAACATATTTTAGGCAAGCTAGAATAACTAAAAATGTATAGTTTATTAACTGGTGAACCCAGAATCCTAAGTCTGGCTGGGGGGTTGGGGGTATTTCGCTACTGCGCAACCCATAACATTTGCAAAAAAATAACTCCAAAAAACATTCTTTAGGCAACTTGAAATGTGTTTATTCTTAAATTTTAGCATCTATTTAACCTAGAAATAAGTATGCCAGACTTTTTTTTCGGGTTTAAAGTGTAACCAGACCATTCCAAGTATGTTTAATTATTATACTTGGAAAACATACTTTAGGCATTCTAAAATTTTTACAGCGTGTTTATTAGATGATATTAAAAAATATGTGTTAATTGCCAGACGAATTCAATGGGATTTAATACTTGCCAGACGTGAATAAAGATTT